CAAACCAAGAGCAGCTATCAAGATGGTCAGGGAGGGAGCAAGGCCTGATTGGGGTTTTATAAGGACGAGATAGAACCAAGAATCAATGACTATGCTGCATTAAAAAACAAGGAACTCATGCAATATTATTCAAAATGGTTGACTCTGGAGAACATTATGCTGAGTGAAATATCCCAGTCACAAAAGGACAAATATTACATGATGCCACTGTTGTAGAATGGGACTGTCCTTGGGGTTGGGGAGAGACTGAGTAAGATGCGTTCAATAATGTATACTGCACTGAAACAGAGGAGGGAGAAAACTGTTTAAAAGAGATATATGACTAGGTATTTCTGTCATCACAGGAGACTAGAGTGAGGGCTACATGGTGGAGGGGACCTGGGGGAGGGTTTGTAAAACAATGAAAGAATCTTTTCTTTTACTTTTCCATAATTTTTGGACTCATGTACTTATAACTTGTTAGTCAAATTTGTGTCTTCTAGGTTGCAACACCCCCATGATACATCTTCAAGGATATGAACATGTACGGCCAAGCACAATCAATAAGAGTGCATCTAAATTCCAAAATCAATCTCCATAATAGTCTATGTGTTTCCTACTGCCAAAGGGGACCTTTAGAGTAGTGAGAGAAGATCTTCACCCTGAAACCCACAGCGTCCCTTTTCAGCAGGAAGTAGCTAAGAGAATACGCCATCCCCTTTTCCTTATGACTCAGGGTGAAGTCTCTCTCAGGGAGGAGTGATAGGGAATGGCAAAGGACACACTGACAAAGAAGATTAATCAGAACTGGCTTTGACAAGCACTGTGGCATTTGGACAAGAACAAACTGGGAGGAGGGTAGAGAGAATAGTGCAACAATGAATGAATGGAAACCCAAAATCTCTGTAAATGTTTATGAAAATTAATAAAATATAATTATAGAAAAAAAAAGAATCAATGACTTTGAATTGTGGTGTTGGAGCAGAGTGCTGAATATCTCATGGACTGCCAAAAGCACGCGCAAATCTGTCTTGGAGAAGTGCAACCAGAATGTTCCTTTGAGATAAGGACGGTGACACTTCATCTCGTATACTTTGGACGTATTACCAGGAGGGGCCAGTCCTTGGAAAAAGCTCTCACGCTGTGAAGGGTGGAGGGTCAGTGAGTGAGAGGATGATCTTCACCGTGAGGGACTGGCATAGGGACAACAACAGTGGGCTCATGATGGAGACCATGATGAAAGTGTAGGTCAGGTAGGTTCACAAGCTCACAAAATCTCCATGGTGCTGTTAGTTCCACATTAAAACATGAAATCTCCACGAGTCAGAATTGACTCAGAAGCAACACTATTATTATTGTTTTTCATTTATGCTACTTACTCTTTGGAAATACAGGACATTCCCTCCAGGCAGAGCCCCGTCTTTGTCTTTCAAGTCCTCGCTGACCAGACCAACCTCAGTGAAAGGGACCTAGGGGACCTAGAAGGATGCTCTCTGCACTCAGCCTGAACGCCTTAGGGCCTTTTCCCATGAAGTCCTCTCTCATAGTGCACCAGACGCTGGAATAGCACTGACTCAGAATACTGGGCTATGTCCTCACAGCTCCTGGTATACTCCTAACGCCTCTGAAGGTTTATTACAAGCCCTTCCTTCCCCGGCTTGGAACCTGGTATGCTCACTCATTAATGGACATTATTATAGTAACCAAACTATCAAAACTGGTTGATTCCATGTGTCCAGCACCTGCTATCTTGACCTACAACCTGCTTTAATAGGATTAAATGCTTAAAACAAACCAGGTTAACTGAACCCATCACCTTTCATCCTCCCACCATTAGGAAGCCTTACTCCAGAAGAAAGCGCAATTCTCTCAAATTCTCGGATTCAATTAAAAGTTGTCAAGCTGTCTCTTTTTAAACAGCTCTGACACAAAAGTACAAAATCTATCATTTTTTTTTCTTCTCCAAAGCTCAAATCCGGCAATGACAGCTTTACTGCCAATGGGAGGGGGGAAAAGTGATTTTGATTACAGTAGTATAACTTCAAAGCCCTAAATAACTTCTTGAAAGTTTTCACTTAGAACAATGAAAACTTTAAAAGGAGCTTCTCTATGGATAGGGAGCTCTGGTGGCCTAGTGGTAAGAAGCTGTGTTGCAATCCCAAAGGCAAGTGGTTCAAATCCACCAGCTGCTCTGTGGGAGGAAGATGGACAATCTCCTCCCGTGTGATTTACTGCCTCTCAAAAGCTGCTGGAGGGTCGGCTGTGGGTCCGTTTTGACTCAATAGTATACAACAAACAACAACTCTATGGATTAAGAACTCTGGTGGCCCAGTGGTGAGAAGCTGTTCTGTAATGTCCAAATCTACCAGCTGCTCTGTGCGAGGAAAGATGGACAATCTCCTCCTGTGCGATTTACTGCCTCTGGAAACCTGCAGGATGGTCAGCTCTGAGTTGGTTCCGACTCAGAAGTACACAACAACAACTCTATGGATTCACTACATTGCTCGCTATTTAAGGAGTCTTCGTGGTAGAGTGGTGGAGCTCTCTGCTGCTGACGGGAAGGCGAGTGTTTAGAACTAATTAGGCTCTCTGTGAGTGGAAGATGTGGCAGTCGCTTTCATAAAGACTCACGGCCTTAGAAAACCTATGGGCCGTTTGACCCTGTCTGCAGATTCGCCACCTTGGAAAACCTACAAGCCTTTCTACCCTGTCTACAGAGCCTCTATGAGTGGGAACTAACCAAACAGCAATGGGTTTTATTGGTTTGTATTTTGTATTTTGTTTGAATAGCTTCAAGATTATATTGATAAAGAACAAGAGGAAAATGAACTAAGAGTTTGTTCCTGAGAATTAAGAGATAAACTGTAAAACACAAAATCCTGCTTAACTGAACCTTCAAATGTCACTATTATTCAAAAGCTGCTGAACAGGTATAGCGTGGCAATGGCAATATGGTAGCAAGAATGAAGACTAAGTGTCTCTGATTCAAACACTTCTCCAAATGAGAACTGAGGCACAAACAGAGACTTGTATACCAATGTTCATAGCAGTGTTACTCACCATTGCAAGAACATGGAAACAGCCCAAATGTCCAACCACAATCGAAGGGATTGAGAAATTGTGGTACATTCACACGATGGAATACTATGCAGCACGCAAGAACAATGATTTTGTAAATTACTACTTAACATGGGACAAACTGGAGAGCATGATGCTAAGTGAATTAACTCAGCCCCCTGAGGACAAATATTACATAAGACCCTGATTGTAGAATGAGTATGAGGATGGAGCAAGGGTGGACAGAGGGGTGAGGATGGGCAGGGAGGTAAAAAATAAAGAATGAGGACACAAATAATAAAAAATAAAACTAAAACGCTTCTCCAGCACATAATTTAGGAGAAGGGTGAGTGAAGTAAATCCAATGAAAGGAAACAACTAAAAGACACAAGCAAGGCTTCAAACAAGTTTCTGGTTTAGCATTCTGTATCAAAAGTACGTATGTGCAACATTTCTGCCCCTACTTTCATGTCATTAGTAACAGTGAGACTGAGAAAACTCCTACAGTGAGAAGGGGCCACATGCAGAAGGGAATTAATGAAAACACAATGTGTTCTTTGCATGAGTATGAATCACATAGCACTGGCTTGACTGTTACCTTTCTTTGTATTATTTACTAGTTCTGCTAACCAAGTCAACAGTCAGGATGTGAGAATAAGGAGAGTGAAGGTTCTGTCCATTGACCCCTTCTGCCGAGTAGACCATACACATCTGTGCTCAAATTGCAGCCTGCTTCTTGGACAGACTTAAGGCTCATGGATCCTGAGCAAGTCACCTAATCCTGTTAAGCCATCATTTTTTTCTTTTTTACCTGTAAAATGGACAGAAATGACATTTCTGGAAGACTCTCATGGCTGCTGTGTCAAAACTGACCCACAGCTGACTCTCCAATGGGTTTTCAGAGGCTGTAAATCGCACAGGAGGAGACCGCCCATCTTTCTCCTGAAAAGCAGCTGGTGGATTTGAACCACCTGCCATTTGATGGGCACTGCAACTCCTTACCCACGAGGCCACCACAGCACCCTGATCCAAGTTGTGGTATTTTCAATTGCTTCCTATGCATCTGAAAGTTGGGTAATGAATAAGGACGACTAAAGAAAACTTGACGCCTTTGAATTGTACTGTCAAAGAAGAATACTGAACGTACCACGGGTTCCCAAAAGAACAAACAAATCTGTCTTGGAGGAAGGGCAACCCGGGGGCTCCCTGGAGGCAAGGCTGCTCAAGCTGGGTCTCACGTACTCTGGGCATGTTGTCAGGAAAGACCAGTCTTTGGAAAAAGGCAGCATGCTGGGAAAGGAAGAGGGTCAGTTAAAAGAGAGAAGACCCTCAGTGAGATGGACAGACAAAGTGACGAGCACAGTGGGTTTGAGCACGGCGGGGGTCATGAGGACGGGACAGGATACAGCAAGGCTCAGCTCTGCTGTTCACAGGGTCGCTACAAGTTGTAGTCTACACAATGGCATTGAATAACCACATTTCTGGAAGCATTAAGTACTGGGCTAGACAGTGGGCAAGCACTCAGTAAGTACAGAGTGTAATTACTGTCATCATTGCTGTTTGCTCAAGTTACGGCTGTGATCTCCTTCGGCCTTTCATCAGTGTTTACTGACAGGCACCACCCTTGTCTCCCGCTCAGGCTCTGCTCGAGGCGTGTGCGTGAAGCGCCGACCCAGGCCATGCATTCCCTCTCCCCTGCATGCCTGGGACATGAGGAGGGAAATGTGGGATTTGGGTGCAAGCAAGCTTGAGTTCTCCTTTCAGCTTGGCCTCTTACTGCTCATCCAAGCAGCTGTTATTACAATAACTCCCTTAAAGAACACTCCTTAGAAGCAAGGAGGATGAGTCTTTATCTTGCGTACTTTAGCTGTGTCATCAGGAGAGATCAATCACTAGAGAAGGACATCAAGTTTGGAAAAGTTGAAGAGCCAGTAAAAATGCGGGAAACTCTCAATGACACGGACTCATACGTGGGCCTCCATAGTGGGCTCAAACACATCCAGGGTCATGATGAGGCGCCTGGATGGGGCCAGCTCATTAGAGATCTCCACAGCGACATCGGTAAGTCCCTGCCTTGGGGCTGACGTGGTCCTGACAGGACACAGAGAGAGTCAGGTCATGGACTAGTGCTAACTTCCTGTCTCCTTTGCTCCTTACATAATTCTACTTATGAGAGAAATCCAGGGTGCCCGGGGTTCTGCTGGGAACACAGTGACAATTCTGCTACTGAAAATAACACGTGTAGGAGGAAGACCTTTGCAAATGTAAATTTACTTTTTTAAAAAAAATATTAAGGTTATTTAAATATGTCAGCAAAACCTCTTGATCATGAGCGATATAGAAGCTGGAAGAGTGGGGTAGGCTGACTGCTGCTGGAGGCATTGGCCTCAACAGACTCGACCAGAGCTGGTATCGGAGATTCTACAGGGAACCCGACATGGTCCTTCAACAAGACCCTGCAAACATGGACTTTGCCACAGACAGAAGCCTTAAGCCTTGCTGTAATTTCTCCCTTCACACAGAAGTCTTTAAAGCATTTCAAGACTGTCGTGATGAGCTATCAAGTCAGAAGCAAATCATAGCTACTCCAACTCTAGTAAGTTATCAGAGGCTGTAAATCGAATGTGCACTCTCCTCCCGTGTGATCTACTGCTTCTGAAAACCTGCTGGAGGGTCAACTACCAGTCAGTTCCTACTCGATGGTGCCCAACAACAACCACCAGCAAACTGCAGGGTAGGAGACTTCACATCTTTCTCCCACGGAGCAGCTGGTGGATGGATTAAATTCACGTGCTTTAGGGTTGGCAGCTCAATTCCTTAACACTAGGCCACCAGAGCTCATTTAAAAGCTAAGGAACCTCAAAACTTGAGCAAGACCCAATGCTGACCTGCTGGAGAAAGCTCCTTCTTCATTCTTTTTAACTTCTTGGCCTTTTTCCTCCCGTCTGAGAGGGTTTCTGCACAGGGATCTGTCTTCTCAAGCTCTGGGTCCGAAATCTCCCCTGACGACCGGTCCCCTAAGCCAACTTCTTCTAGACTTGGACTCAGGGTCCTCTTTCCTACTGGGCTGTTAGCTGTAAAACTGAAAGAGAAAGAGAGGCAATATGAAGAGGTGTTAAGAGTAATGGGAAGACTGGCCTCCAAAAAATATTTTCATACGATTAATTCTATTGACACTCCAGTGGCCATCAACAACACTGGTAGCTGCTGCCTGAGGGTGAAAGGTAAAGACCTTTTGAGGAACCAAAGCCTACAGGTTCACTTGCAAGTAGATTATTCAGAGGAAAATTCTACATTGTGCTTCTACAGACACACATTCACATCTAAATGACTTCTAATGCTTAAAACCCATTTTGAGAGAAAAGGGTTTTCTATTTTGGTAGAGGTATTACAATACTTGTGGATTCCTGGGTGGTGCAAGTGGTTATGCATTCAACAATGGACCCAAGTTGGGTGTTCAAATGACCCAGAGGTGCAGAGGAAGAGAGACCTGGTGATCTGCTTCCAAACAGTCGGTCTTGACACGCATGGTGGGGCTGCTGTGAGTTAGAATCAAGAGCAACTGATTTTCTGTGTGTTTTCCTTTTCAGTTTACTATAAAAAAATGAAAATGTGGCAGACTAGAGAAGAACTGTCCCAGAGATTCCACAATGTCACCTTTACAGCTTCATCTTGAAGATTTATGGACCCCACCCTATCCTGCAACATTATTAGGATCTCTGTTATGCTTAAGCCCATTGTTGGAGCCGGTGCGTCAAAGCATCTCTTTGAGGGTTTTCCTCTCTTTCATTGACCCTCCACCTTTCCCAGTCTGATGGGTTTTCCCAAGGACTGGTCTCTCCTGACAAAACGCCCAAAGTTCCACCATCCTTGCCTCTAGGAAATACTCGGGCTATACTTCCTCCGAGCTACGTTGGCCTAGTGGAAGGAAGCTGTGCTACCAAGCCGAAGGTGGGTGATTTTCATCTGTGGCCCTCGGCCAGGTTCAAATTGTTTTCCTGTCAAACATTCTTCTAGGTGGTACAGCACTGGTCTGTGCGTTGCTGTACAGAGGTGACTTGTGGTTGCTGTGATGCTGAAGACTGACAATGATGTGCCAGTCGTGGTAATGGGTACCCATGGTGGACAGTGCTGGCTGAAGCTTCCCGACTAAAACAAGCCTGGAAGCAGGAGCGGCATCCACTTCCGAAATGGCTTGCCTCCGGAAACTCCATGTATAAACAGCGCTCAGGCCGTTCGTTCATAGGGTCGCTATGAGTCATCTACGACTCGACGGCATCAAACAACAACAACATACTTCCTCCTAGGCAGCTTTGTCTGTTCTTACGACAGACCATGGTATTACTTTACTCCAACGTTCTAACTCAAAGGCATCAATTCTTCTTCTGTCATCCATATTCACTGTCCAACTTTCAGATGCATAGGAAGCACTGAAAATATCACAGCTTGAGTTAGACACACCTTATTTTTTTAAAACTGACATCCCTCAAAGTGGCCCCAATGGTATACTACTACAATAATAGAAAGCGACTACTTAAAAGCAGTTCTCATACACATGGAAGGCAGTGGAAGGCAGCAAGGGCAAGGAGCACCTGGCCTCTTACCACTGGCTGTCTGGTCTTGCATTTATTCAGTTTTACACATCTATCATATGCAGACTCTCAACTGAGGAAATAAGGCAAAAACGGAGGATACCAATGGGAAGAACCATTTTTTGGAAGAGTGTTAAAAGTCCACGGTAACATTTATTGTTCAAAGACTGGTAATACAGTTAAATAGGGATTTTCTTAAGATTTGTGCAACAATGAATGAATGTTAAAAAAAAGTGAACTGGTGAAGGAGGAAAGGAGGGAAAAGGGGTAAAATATGCAACAATCAGTGAATGATAATTTAATTTCTCTGTGAACGCCTGTTAAAAATCACAATTAAAATAAAATTTTACTTTTTTTAAAAAAAAAGAAAAGAGAAAATTTGGCTTACTTCAGAAAATCTGAAAAAGCCAGAAAACATAAGAAGACAAGATGGTCCTATTATTCCATTAGAAAAAGAGAAAATACTCCAAAATTCCTCTGTATGGAAAAATCCTGAAATAAAGTGGCCTCTAAGACATAAATGTTTAATAAAACCTCAGCTTGAATCATTGGCATTAAAGATACTGCAAAATATATAAAGTCCAGAAATAGTTCAACTGCATATGTAAAGACCACACTTCTGTGCATAATAAAGGCAGTATCTCAAATTACTGGTGCCAAGATAGACCTCTTGAAAAATGATGTTGGAACAAAAAGGAAAAGATAACATTAGATCCATTCCTCATATGACACAAAGAATAAACTCCAATAGAAAGAAATAAAAAAAGATGTAAATGTAAGAGAATAAACTTCTACAAGTCTCAGAGAAGAATTGAGTAAATTCTTCTAAAACAAGAATAAAGACAAAGCAATCCTGACTCACAATCCAAATGTAGTAACAGATTTTAAAAGAAAAATATTTGGCATGGCAAAAAAAACCTCTCATCAAAAGACAAACAATAAAGCAGAAGAAAATATCTGTATTACGCACCAAAGACAAAAGTTTAATAACTCTAATACATATACTAAAAACTCACTGATGTAAAGTAGGAACTGATTGACAGATGGCCTTCCAACATCTGTATGTTTGTACCTAATACACAAAGAACATCTGGAATGGAGGGGAAGAATAAAAGACAAAACCCCTGCAGAAAAATGGGCATCAATGCATATGGGTAATATCAAGAGGTTTAACATGTGTATAATCATAATCTCAAAAGAAGAGAGTGGGGCAGAAATAATACCTGAAGAAATTAAGGCCAGAATTTTTCCCAATTAGAGGAAATTTACATATTCAAGATATTTTTAAATAGGATAAATATAAAGAAAGCCACACCCCGGAACAGAGTCAAAATGATAAAAACCAAAGATAAAAAGTGTGAGAAGAACTCGGGGGGGGGGCGGGCGAAAAGGACCTATTACAAACCAAGAATCAGTAACATAAATGTTAATGATTCTCGCCAGAAATAACAGAGTCCATAAGAGAGTAGCACATTTCTAAAATTTAAGAGTAAAACAATCTTGTCAACCTTGAAAATTATAGTAAATGAAAATATTCTTCAAATACATTTTCCCCCAATAAACAAAAACAGATTGTTTACCTCAAATTCTACACTTTATGAAAAGATAACCGAAGTAAGAAAATATTATACACAAGCTAATGCTAAAAAATTTGAAAACATATAGATAAAACTGATAAATTCAGAGATTTAAGATTTTTTAAAAATCCGTGATTTGTTTATGATAAATCTTAGACAAATTGCTAAATACTGTCCTCAGAAAAAAAGAGAGTCATTAAGTAGCCCTAAATAAAGCAGAAATACAAAATTCATAAAAAAATTTCAACCACCAAAAATTTCAAATCCAGATGGCTTCATGGGTGAACTCTATCAGACATTTAAAGAATAATAATCCCATAAAAGTTCAGGAGACATAGGAAGAGAACACTTCTCAAATAATTTTATGAGTCTAATATCATTTTGATACTAACAAACACCAAAGAGTCAATAAGAAAATAATAGGCCAATCTTCTCTCAAAACGGACATATGACAAACTGAAAAGGAAGAGAAGTAGAGAAGAATTCATGAAAATCAGAATGACATAGAGAGAGAGGGAAAAGTTCAATTACATTGTGGGTTAGTGAAACTAATGCTATTAAACAAACATGTGGGAGTGATTCAATGAAAAATTAAATTGCTTTGCAAACTTTTATTTAAATCACAATAAAAGAATAAAAAAATATAAAATCAATAAAAATTTATTTTATATATCTAAGAAGCACAAGTGGCATCCACTTCCTAAATAACATGCCTCTGGAAACTCTACAAACTTTGATAAATGTCGGTAGGATAGTTGTAGAGGGGCTTCAGGCCTTTTGTTCACAGGGTCACTATGAGTCATGCTCAACTTGATGGTATTCAACAACAAGTTGACATACAAAACATTTGAGATATTAGTAAACTGTACCCAGCAATATACACAAATGATATATTTCAACCTAGTGGTTTCTATCCAAGCAACAGGAGCTTGGTTTAACATTTGAAAATCCATCAAGATAATTTTCCATATCAAGAGATGACACTAAACAAACTCTTCATGATCAGAGCACCTGATGGGCAAAAGGTTGTTGACAAAATCCAACATCTATCTATTCCTTGAAAACAACCCACCCCTACCCCTATATTCGAAAGTGACCATAGTCTGTTGGTGCCCTGGTCATTGACAGTGCAGGGAGAGCAAGCACTGAAAGCCACTTCCCCGTGTTTGGAGGGTTCATCTCATCCATTCTGAATCTGGAGCTTTCACACAGTCTTCTATGACCCCTTCAGAATGGACTTTTGTAGGCTGAGTGAGATATAGTCACTAAGTCTTCTTAAAGATGTTCTTGTCAGAAACTTGAAGAGGGACAGAGAGTCTGATCTGTATTTGGGCCCACGGAGGAAAAAGTCAAATAGTTCTAAAGGATAAACAGAGCAATTATGGATTGTAGGCCATAGTCTGAAATTTACAGGGGCAAGTAATAATTCATATATTTAAAAAAAACTAAAAAACCAGCCCACACACTCATGCACTTCTACATCCTAACAAAGGGGACAGACAAAAATTCTATAGCTAGCATTGTACATAATGGTGAAAGCTTAATCAATAATAATGGAAAGAGATCTGTTTTGAGCACCGTAAGGCAATGCTGTATAGGAGTCGAAGTCAGGGCATTAGGCAAGAAATATAAACATAAGGCATACAGAGTGGAAAGGGAGAAGCTTAACTGTCACTAATGACATGATCATTTTTGCAGAAGACCATCAGAAATGTGGAAGATTCTGCGACAGCCAGTGAGTTTAGCAAGGTGACAGGATACAAGATTAATATACAAAAATAAACAGATGTCTGTGTTTGTTTCTATCCATTAACTGTAAAGTGACCTTTTTAAAGTTATTGATACTGCTGTCGTCAGGTGCCGTCAGGGTGGCCTGACTCATTAGTGGTCCCTTTGTACAGGGACATTCTGCT